CAGGTGAATGCTCCTTGGACGTCGCTTTGCCTCGGAGGCAGTTTCGCCTTCCCACCCTGCTTCCTGTTGTCCTTCCCGGACTTCTCCTGTCCGGAAAGCCCAGACAGCAGTGCTGTATTTGCTTATCGAGTGCGAGTGAGGATGGCTTCGTGGAGGCCTTGCATAGTCCCACTGGGTCTCTCTGTTACTCGGCTCTGTCGATTCCACCCTCTTTACCTACATCCCTCTGTGCGTTCAACACTTGTTGTTTATTCCACAAGATCATTTCATAAGTAGATGACATTTTTCTTCATACCTTTTCTTGCTTTAGATTTGCCTGTAGTGAGAATCTTCCTACTGTACTAATAAAACCAGCATTTTGGGCGTTCATTTTTATACTCTCAGTTCTCTCCTCAGTCACTGGGAGCTCTTAGTGTTTCTTGCTCACTCAGTTGTGGGAACTTGAGTGATGTCTCTGGTGAGGAGCGGCTGCTCCCGAGTTCAGTCCTGGTGAGGGAATTGGCCAGGAGGAAGCCCTTGCATTGGGGTTTGTGACGGGCTGTGAGCACACCGCAGCTTCCAGGAAAGCATGTTCAAGGAGGCACGAAAATTAAGCCTTAATCTTTCATCCTTGTAACATTATAATGGCATTCCCAGTGCTTCCTTCTGTTAAATATTTATCACCTGTGTGTTTTATCTGGTTCCCAACAATACTGAACAGTAGGTCTGCAATTGCCAAACACTGACTCAGCTGTATTAAAAGCAGGAAAAAAAAAAACAGAAATTGCCGTGCCAGGTACAGCTCAAGGGTGGCTCAGTGTGTGGCACCTCAGCTGGGGCCCAGTGTGGGCACACCAGTCGCAACAGCAAGTTCCTCAGACTAAGGATGAAAGGAGGGAGCAAGAGAGATGCATTTCTGCACAGCCCCTGAAGGAAAGCAAAAGGAAGGGAGAGGAAGGAGGAATGTAGCTGCTTCTGCCAGTTTTCTGCATCCATAGGCATCATCCTCCTCCTCTGTGCAGTCCAGTCAGATTTCCACCAGCATCTCTTCCAAGTCAATGTTCATTTTGTATCTCTCTGACAGCAAAATCCTAATGAACAGGCAACCATTCTCATTAAGAAAAGAACAATTCTCTTTAAATGCAATCTTTCTTTCTTGGCAGATCTTGAAAACTTCAAAACACGGACAAGAAGTACAGTGTCAGTCCGCCAAGGTCAGGGGATGGTGCTGCTCTGTGGACCACCACCGCATTCTGGAGGTAAATCTGTTTTCTTCTATATGCTTTCTGTATTTTGGGCAATATGCAAGGGTTTTATTCTCAGAATATGTTTCAGAAAGTTTTTAAATGGTAAACTTTAAAGCTGAACACTGTGATTGGGCCAGCCTGACAAAATGGTTCATTTTGAGTGGTTCTGTTGATGATCTAAATGTGTGGTAGACCTCTATTGGATATAGATGTAGAGAACATGTTTGCACATGCACACAAGTATGCATTTAGGAGGTGAAATGATGCAACCTAACACATTCATATGTAGAAGATATGACCAACATTGAACTTTCAGAACTCATTCTGTAAATGGCCTATGTGTGTTCTACAAAAAGATGAAAGATTGCTGATAGAGCCACTTCGGTGTATTATTTTCTGTATTACTTTAATTTTACAAATGCTCATCGTCACTATTACTTTGTCTCCTGTACACTCAGACTTGATTACTGGTTATCCAGCTCTCATACGTAGTTTTATTTTTGGAATGGTAGTGCATGTTCTTCCCTCTCTTTTTGTGGGAGGGAGAAGCAAGGGAGAGAAGAAAATCATGTGCCATCAGATTACATAGTGATCTGGAAGATGCTCACCACTGTTTTCTGTGTTGTTGTTTATGTCTGTATCTATCTTTCTGGAAATCATAACTTGAAGCTCCAGATAGAATGATGGAGAAACTCTGCTACCTGAAGTCTCTAAAAACTTCCCATTCTTCATTATCATTTATGTGTCTGATGATATATTTAAATCCATTAGAATTATAATACAGAATGATAGTGACTGTAGCTCAAGGCTCATTGAATGTCCAAAGATACAGACTCTGTTCAGGAAATGATTCAACCTCTCTTTTCATAGCAGTCACTGTTATCTCTAACATTTCAGAAAGATTTGTGGCTTTTTTGGAGAAACAGAAAGTTGTAATAGCAGACAGACTGAAGAATTCTGAATTTTTAGAATGGCTTTATGGGCATGTGCTCTTGTAAACTATAGTTGTGTCACAAAATGATTGATCCTCTCTTAAAACCTCACTAAATTATTCTCTTTATATCTGCCATGTTTTATACCGACTATAATAGTGGAAATGGCGTGTATGTCAGCAACGGTAGCGGGGCAGTGGCCCTGCCTGGCGCTCACGCCGTACCTGCGGGCCACATACATAGATCTTTGCATTGCACTGTGCAGCGTGGAGGAATCGCTGTGCTGGAGCAGGAGGGATCTGGAGGATGTGCTCCAGACACAGGAATGGCCATGGAGAAGCGGGGGGGGAAAAATTTCCGATCAGGCCAACCCAAACGTTGCCTGGTTCAGTGCATTTGCGTCACACACTTTTGTATTCCCTGAGCGTTTGTAATAGCAAAGTGTCCTAACCTTCATTAGCCTAAGTGATGGAGAGTTAATGACACAGCGAGCTGAATTTAGAGCCTAGGAGAGGGAGAAACGGAAGAGAGAGAGGAGTCGGCCCTCCTTGACATCAGAGGTGTTTGCCACCTTCTAATCTGGGGTAAATTTGTCTCTTTCATAGGTTGTCTTTAAATATAACAAAGCCCTATATCATCCTCCTGTAAACCCTGAATTTTAACACTGACATATATGGTGTTCTCTAGCTTCTAAATATATTCCTTTCTGTTAAGTAGCAGCTAACGAGGACATGCAGAGAGAACACACTGCAATAGCTGCTGCCATTGCAGGTCCTGAAGTGATTTGTTCCCCTCTGACACATGTAACATCCATCAAAGCTGTTCCCTGACTAGAGCCAGCGTCATCGATTCTGGTGCTCAGGTGAGGGGTCTAACAAGAAATTTATATTAATGGTAGTTAAAGAAATAAAGGCCAACAAAAAGCTTGCTGCTTTCTCTAAGTCGCAGACAAGCACTCACCCCCTTAAGATCATTTTCCCTTTTAGAGGAATCCGCAGCCCTGCTTTGAAGTCTGCCTGTCCTCGGAGCCCTTGCTCATCGCTTTGAAAATTGCCTAGCAAGTGGCTTGCTGTGATTCTGCTTTCCCTGCCCAGAGCACCGAGACGAGCGCTCGCAGAGCCCCTTCCACCCCGAGCAGCTGGCAGGACGCGGCCGTGCTGGCCCCGCTCGGCTGCTGCTGAGACGCAGCAGAATTAGAGAAGAGTTGGAGGTCCCCGGGTCCGCGAGTGTAATGACCTGTGAGCTCTGCGAGCGCTTCCAAATCAAGAGAGCTTTTAATTCTGAGTATTCGCAGGGAGACATCGCTGAAAGCTTTGACTGGGGATAGAGCCCCTTCGGGAGGCCTCCGCTGGCCATGCAAATCAGTGAAGAGTTTTTACAGTGCCAAGAGCGCTCTGGCTTTTCAGCTACCCCTGTTTCATACGTGTGCATGTGTGAAACCTGGGGAATTTTATTGCCATTTGTCGCAAAAAATGGTGATAAGTGCCCATGCAGTGGGCCTAGCAAGCAGGAGACAGAGAGGACAGAAATCAGGAAAATTTGTGTTTACCTCCTCCACAAAGCTTTCTTTTTTATTTTTTTTATTTTATTTTTTTTTCTGGGAGCCATGAGAAGCCCATGCAGTGTTAGCAAGATCTGGGCACACTCTGTGCGAGCAGTGGGAAGGAGAGTGAATTCCAGCCTTTCTTTCCAGTTTACATTTCCATGGATAAATTTGTTGAGATAAAATTGAGCTTTGAAAACTGTGTTACATTTGCTTAAGTAATTCGGAGAAATGTTTTAGTGGGCATGTGCTCACTGGTGATACAAAAACATTTGGAAAGGTGCTGAATTTATTCCCATTTGCAGGCTGGGTACAAGGAAGTGCCTCCAGTGGCGGTGAGCTCCGCGCTTTGCTGGTGCCCAGCGAGGCAGAAGCTGAAGGGAAATTAGTTCCTTGTATCATTTGGATGGGAGGTGACTGCCTGCACCGCCACCATCTACGATCTGCCCTCTTCCAGCTAGAAAATGATCTTAATTATATCAAGCCAGATCCACAATTAGTCTAAATTGGTACTGTTGCAGTTTTGTAACTGAGCTGGACTGCAGCACACTGGTGGTTGTTTCTGTTTTGCATAAAGCATTTAGTGGAAAGTCAAAACAGTTCCAATTAATTCAGATTGAGCCCCTTGTTCTGCGGGAATTAATTTTCTCAGTAGAAACAAATCTTTTTTTTCTTTTTCTTTTCCTTCCTCCTCCTCTTTTCTTTCCTGCCAAATCCAGAAATGCCTGGAAAGGGTAAGTTTTACAACTGAAAACTGCAAAGCTGATGCTTTTCGGCCCTGTGAATGACATTCCGCCTAGCCCAGGACACGTGTTGCAGGAGCTGCTTGCTCATAGTCCCTGCCGTGGCCACAGTCACTTCCTGTTCAGTGCGAGGTAGATGGAGATTCAAACGAGAATATCGGGTATCAGGGAAGTAACTGCATGTCGGAAAACCCGAGCGTTTCATCGGCAGCTCCCATCCCAAGGGGTCCTTGGAGTGTTTGCAAACTAAAGCTGTGGCGATCCCTTCCTTCCCAGCCCATGATATGTCACCTCTGGGATATAACGCTGCAACTAGTTAATGTTGTCCTGCACCAGGAAAAAAACATTCACGTTAGGAGCGGAAAATAATGTATCTAGTTGAAAGTGCAAGTGGCATTAAGATAGAGAAAACACAATTACTTATTTGGGAATGTGGTTACAATAGCTAACCTAACTTCATCAGCCTCACAAAAAGTGCCTGGGGACGTTTAATGACCAGTGCTGAAGACTGTGAGTGTCTGTGAAAGACATCTGCGTTAGGGCTTTACCTATGGTTTTCAATTTGTGACTTCAGTTTTTGTTCTGCATCGAAAAAGGCATCCTTAAAAGCAAGGGAAGCTTTTCAACCCAGTAAGAGTGGCTGCAGCTAAGAGTGGAATTATTTTGGCCCACACACATTAGTTGTTGAGGTTTTTTTTTTCTCTTAATGATGCTAAAAAAAGAGCTCTCCACTATTTAAATGCTACCAGCAATTCTTCCTAAAAATGAGTCCAAATGATTAACAAGTATTTTCAGCATAACAAAATGGACTAAACACAGATTGCAGAGAATAATTGGGCCATCTCCATGTATTTTCACAATTCTTATGTTAATATTGATGGGAGATTCACCAAATGAGCCTAGCAGTTTCTCCCCCACCTCCTCCCCTTTGATGAAGAAGAACTGGGTATTTCTTGCCACGCATTTCCAGCAGGGAGGCTCCGTTTTGGCAGCTCTGTGCATTGTGGTGTTACATTTTGTTAATGATGCGGGTGCTGGTATGATGGAGTGCTGAAAACTGGGGAGGTAAATGTTCATCTGGAGCTCAGGAAGCCACTGGAATAAAACCAGGATGCAGAGTCAAACATTTGCTTTTATCACGTCATCTTCTCTTGGCCCTGTCACTGGCGGAGCCTGTGATGCCCATCCTGCAGGTATTTACAGCACCTGCTTTCCAAAAAGTTTCTATTTTCTTTTTTCCCCCTTCCCTGTGCGTTCACTCATCCGTATAAATTCAGTACAAAATAGAGAAGTAGTGAAAAGTACCTGACTTGTAGGCATTTTCCTGAAATAACTACCCTGAACATATAGGGTTTTCCAACATTATTTCTACTGTTTCGGATTTTTTTTTTTAATTAAAAAGCCTAAGGATGGTCTTGGATGGACCATGTTAGCTCTGAGCCCCACAGTGGCAATAAAAACAATGGTAAGGGAACATCATGTAAAGTGCACGTAGAGCAGCAAGAGGAGCAGGTCAAGCAGAGGTTTCAGTGATCACCTTATTGACATGGCAGACAGGAGAGGACAGCTGAGAACTGTAAATAAGAATTATGTATCTAAAAGCATAGATTTAGGGGCTTAGTGTTACCTGTGGCCTGGACGCTCTCCTTGTATTAGATATTCGCATCATGGTGGCTCTTTCTGGACGGTGAGGAACATCACAAACTTTCCATGACTTCTTTTGATGAGACCCGTTGTGGTGGCTCAGCATTTCTGAGATGAGCTCTCTAATTTGGATGCCATAAAAACAATGCT